GCAGAGCTGATTAGCTCTTAAAGAATTCTCTGTGGCAGGATGTCATTGAATACACAAAATCTCTACCGGAAAGGAAGCCACGGGTGTAAAGCTGCTGATGCTGAAAATAGAAAAAGTACAAAGACGCACCTTTACCGGGATTCAATTGTCAGTCATGATCAAATGAGAGCAGGATGTTGTGAATGGCATTTAGCTTAAATGTTTACTGTTACCAGTGAAGCAGGATGACAAGTTGCCGTTAGAGTTGTACTGTCTGCACAGTGATGAAGGTCAGTGAGGTTGAGCCTTGGGCATCTGTAATGAACATGGGTACACTGTAGAGGTTTTTATTCCTGTGGTGACAAAACTTTGACCTATCATGATCTACTGAGAGTTACCATTACTGCCTTTAGCTATGCAGCGTAGCTAAGTTGATGCCCAGAGGAAATCTGTGAAAATGATAATACAAGGTAATTAATTAAATTAAATAATTCAGTCAGTCAAACAAACCTCCCACAAATCTTTGCTTACTTACCTTGAAAAATATTACTACTTCTTCCTGTCTTCTTCTTTCTTTTTCCCTCCCCCTTTGCACCAGATGGCTTAGCTGATCTGACATTTATTTCACTCATGCATTGACAATGATGACAAGGTGACAAAACTCAGCTTCAGTAATTTGTTCACCTCAGCTGCACCTTCCCCACCCCTGTCCCTTTTTAGCCACAATTAGTGTGTGTATTCGTTCCTGGAAGGTCATGTTGTGAGGGAGTATTTGTGCATAAATTATTATTTATATTTAATCAGACCTTTTGTCTGGGGTGCTTTTCCCTCCACAATCTGCATATAGCTGGTACAAGGGCTTAATTAAGCGTATACTGAATGCATACATCTTTATTTAATAGTTTTAGACTTTTTAGGTGGGCATGTATGGTTTATGATAATTTTCAAGATTTGTAAATATAACCTTAGAAACAAAGGTCCTTCAAGAGCAGAGTGCTCAACTTACAAATACCCCGCTAGTCTTGCAAAATCCCAAGTTCTCAGACCTGGTTAGACATATCAGTAAAAAGACTAACTGTTGACAGACACTCAGATCAATCCACCCTAATTTGACCAGGTGGCCTACAATCACACAAAGCTAAAAGACATGACTTTAGACCTCCATTCTTCAATTCAGCAGGTTTATTTGAGGATAATTGAATTTAGTGGAAAGAAAGAATGGGGACTAGTCTGTGAGCCGATATTGCCAAAAAGCCCAACCCCAGACTTTCTGCAGTCTAGTGTGTAGAGATTCTGTGGCACAATATCAAGGCCACAGGTAATTCATCTTCTGGCTCTAGCATTGCTTTGTGACCTAATTAAATGAATAAAGATGTTAAGAAATCTTCATTTCCTTAGGGATAAACACATTTCTGCATGGGAAAGGTAAGTGGAAAGGCTGGCTTTGTAAAGGAATAATAAAGGCAGATGAGAAACCACTGGAAGGGAGAAAGTCAATGGCTGAAGATATTTGAATAGTGAGGGGGAAACTGTTCAGATTTACATGCAGCTGCAGTTGCTGGCTCATTTGTTTTGATAATAGCTCATCCTGCGCTCACTTTATGCAGAGCTAACTCCATCATATATATCTCAGTTAACAAACATTTCTCTTCTTGTGATAACACTCCACGTCTAAAGCGATGGATGTTATGTGGTGAGACAAAAAAGCATCCTGTGTCAGACACAAGACACACTTGAGTGCACTGCCTGGCAGTTTAAATACTGCCTGCCTCATCACTGAAACATCTGGCTTGTCTTTGGGTGTCTGCACTCATCAATTATAAAGAGTATGCAAATGGACAAATCCTCCAACATCCCTGGGAGTCCACACGGTTACAACAACAGGGCTATCAATTCTCATTAAGGTTTTCCTTCCTTGAAAGGCAGAAATTGAAGTTGGGATATTCATGTTTATAGTCCCAGGCAATTGGAACAAATGAGGAGATCTTGTGGAGGGAAGATAGGCTTCCAGGCTTAATCGGTTCTCTGCAAAAACCCTCATGCCAACACCCACCCACCCCTCCAGTGGCTCCGCGGGGAGTGACGGCCCTATGCCATAGTGCTCAGGCTCTCACTCCTCTGACAGGCCCATAATTCATCAGACTCATTCTTCAACTTCCACTGTCACCATTTCCTGTGCTGTCAGGGGGACGACTCCCATCATCAGACTGGTGATTTCAGAGGTTTGTGGCAGCAGCACTCCCTCGCTGTAGCTGACTAACATGGCTCTGCTCCAGACAGCTGGGTGACCCCTCCTTAGTAGCTGGCTGGATGCTCTGATTCCTCTCATCATGGCCATTTAAAAGATGATCTAGGGTGTGAATTTTTGCTGCGTGATGCGAATAGTTTTTGGAAGTTGCTGATTTGTGTATTTGTATGAGTTTGTGTCAACACAAATATCAAAGACTAGCTCAGACTGGACAAAGCTGGATAATGTCAGAAAAAGTGGACGCAGATAAACTAGCATTGTCCAATAGTAACAAAACCAAATCCACACTATTCCTTGGACAGAAGCAGTGAGTTTCTGTATAGTCTTGCCATGAAGAAATAGTCCCACAGTGACAGCATGAGAAAGACCCTCTCTTGGGTCAATCCGCTCAAAGTGGCACGACTATACAAAAGCTGGTGCTGGACAGCTGGCAAATGTCCTCGCCAACATCTTCAACATCTCTCTGGCCCAAGCACTCATCCCCACATGTTTCAAGTCAATAACCATCATCCTGGTACCTAAGACGTCTCTGGTGTGCTGTCCAGACAGTAATGGGCTGTCTGACTACCGTCCCATACACTCAAACCTATCATCATGAAGTACTTTGAGAGACTGGTCATGCAGCACATTAAACCAGACTCCCCATAACACTTGACCCCTCCTCCAGTGAGCTTGCTGCTCCAACCACTCCACAGAGAATGTGGTAATATCTCCCCTAGACTTAAAAAGGGAATGTCCTGGCAGGTAGTGAATGACCAAATGGCAAATGAGCTAGTTATATTTCCTACCATGTGTGATTTAACAGGTTTATGAGAGAGTACTCCCAACAGTATCCTCTTCCTCTGTTATAGCTTACCCACAGGATCTCTGTGACCTCAGAGAACATGCTGGGTGTGAGAACCACAGCTCCATGTAACCATGCCTGGGCCATTTCTGGACATTTTAGTGCTCTAGACGAAACATTGTATTCGTGCCCCTGGGGGATTACACCTTTTGTTACAATATTTAATGACTATTATAATCATTTTATTAAACTGTACTATCTCAAATGTAACTTTAGTCAACTTCTGTTCTGTGTCATATTCTCATCATGTTCAGGATATGATAGAGAACATAAAAAGATTATTCATATCCCCTTATCAGTCCAACATTATCCAGATTACTGTTCATCTGTGTAGAAGTGTCTTTGATGCCTCCACATTGCAGACTGTCGCAATGACTATCATTTTTGTACTGAGGAGCAGATGTTATGAATATGATTCTTTCACTTAGCACTTCTGTCCTATTCTGACCAACTTTTAAGATTATTTATTTTGAATTCTATATAAAAGTAAAGTGAAGCAGAGGTGTGTTCACCTGCAAAATGTCAATGAAACAGATGCACAAGGTGACTGCTTAAATCATTCACTGCTGCTGCTGTTATACAACTGAAACTTAAACTAATCGCTATTTTTATGTATTTGGTGGCTCAGTGGGTCACTCACTCACAAGGCCTTCAGTGCTTTGAGTACAATGGGGCAATTTTGAAAGCTGTCAGTCCAGGAGAAAACATCCTGAGCTGACAGCGTAATCATAACCAAAATTCCTGGACCTTCCTGCCTCTGGACATCAATGACATCAATTTAATTTTGTGTTGTAGGTCAATGTTTATCTTTCTTTTGCTAAACGCATGGATTCACTGACTATATGACTCCAGCTGAGGACACACTTGCGCACATACAGTAGCCTATTATCTGTAACCCGATTCCACTGTGTGTCATAAAATGATGTTTATGGAACATAAGTGCCCTGGTTACTCATATGTGATTTTTACACAGCAGTGTGAGCAAATGAACCATGAGGTCACAAAAACTGCAGCCAACAGATCTTTTGATCTATGTCCCCTTCTTTAGTCTGTCTGCAGTCTCCTCTAACAGCAGTGTGAGCTGTTTTTTTTTTCTTTACTTTAATAAGGAAAAGTATGTATTAAATGTCAGTGATAGACATTTAAAAGTATAGTAGCCATTTGCAATTAATCTCACAGACTTTTTTGTCCTCTTACTGCTGCCCTAGGTCACCGATGCCTAAAAAAAGGCCCTGTGCATTTCTCCATCTGTATACTTTTGTCCAGAGAATAGTATGTGGCCTGGTTTTGTTCATGTTGCTGTGAAGTAAACCCATTTACAAAGTCACACTGTGGGGACTCCATGTCCTTATGGGGACAAAAAGCAAGTCCCAAAAATGTAAGTCAGTGTTGACTTAGGTTAGGGTAAGTGTATTGTAAATATGCAGGTTAGGGTTAGGCAAGTAGTGGTTATGGCTGGGTTAAGTCTTTAGGAAATGATTGCAAGTCAATTTAATGTTCCCTGAAATAATGGAAACATAATGTGTGTGTTTGTGTGTGTGCATTTGTGTGTGTTTAACAGCATGAAAGGGCACTCTATCTCAATTTCTCCTGAGAAATAAAACAAAAAGGCCCTGTACTCCATCAACTTTGGGTCATACCATGGCCTTTATGTGGACCTCACCTCCTCCTTCTTTTCCCCAGACCTCTCTGTTCTCTGCTGTCGGTATGACTTAGCATGAAGAAGCGTTGCATATCAGAAAACCCATCTTGGCAAGCCTTTTTGTTTGTTAGCTTGTCATATTCTGATCAAAACACCTGGTCTTAAAATCATTTGTAAGTCAAGTCAAGAATCTTTATTGTCATTATGCAAAGCACAATGAAATTTTTTGTAATATAACTGCAGTGAGATATAACAGTTGTAATATTGCTCCACACTGAAATACATTCACAGTCTGAAACAGACCTATATGTTGTCTTATGCAGATTATTTGAATCTGCTATAACTAATATTTGTATATGAGCTATAAATACAATAATACACGTTTATACAAATAGTAAAAGGTTGCTTGCTTGTAAAGACATAACCACAGAGGTTTAAGCCCCAGGGTTTTTCCTGTGTCTTTCAGCTCATTGTTTTGGTTCTGAAGCCTGCAACTTCACTATTTTGGTTCACTATCCAGACACATAACCAGTTAACTATGAATAAACTTCAATACCCACAGTAGTTAGTGGAGACCGGGAACAGAGCAAAAATGAAAGTAAATATTAGGCTTACATTCATCAGGTAGATGGAAACAATTCCAAATGAATGCTAATGTTGCTCTGTATCTGTTAGATGTACAGTATATGTGATAAATTATTTGCTGCCAAGTTTGCACGATCAAGCCACAAGTGATCCAAAGACAGTGCTACGTTTACAGCTTGTTTCTGCTGATATTAATATTTCCATGTTTATGTAAAAACTCATTTGTTGCTAATAAGATAAAACTGACTTGTTAAAGACAGTATGTTGTGAAAGAGAGTGCAGAAGAGTGAAGTTTTTTTTTGGCCCCAAGAGGCTCCCTTTTTTCCTTTACCACCATTACTAAGACAGGAAACTGCAGTATTCCCAGCACAGGTAGGACGTGTAAAGGACCTTGCACAAATCGCAAAAATCACAAACTAGACTGAGCTCCAGCCCTATATATTGTTTGTAACAATCTATGACATACTGTAAACCCATCCCAAGACACAGTTGGCATCTAGGTTAGCGATTTTTTAAAATTCTAACCAGAATTACATAATTACAGGCATGCAGTTGGATGTCTTCCTCCCATGTTTTATAAAGAGACAGAATATCACTGTAAAAGTAAAAGCATATATACAGATTTGTTATGAACCAATGACTATGTTCAGTAGCTGACAACCTGTTCTGTTCCCCTGAAGGTGAAAGTCATTGCTGTCACTTGTTGTCACAAGGGATTGTGTATGCCAATTACAGTGTTTGTTGGTGGCTCCTGGCGGGTCCTCTGGGCATTCATATCACTGTATAATTTCATCCCCTTCTCCACAGAGTAATTCTATCACTCTCATGACACAGGGAGAGGCAAGCAGTAGAGAAGAGTACATCCACAAATAAATCCATTTAAGGTATATCCTGAATCTAATCTATGGCGCTCACAGAATGTCAAGGGAGAATCTGTGAGTAAAAAAAACAATAATAATAATAATAAAATAAAAGACACTTTTTGTTCAGGCAAGTAGTATCGGTCACCCTAACTGTCTTAGATTTCCTGTGCTCTTGTACTGACTTTATAAATAAATCCTGGGGAATCAAAGCAAAGTTCACATAGTGCCCAGCCTGAGCGGGCCAGTGCTGCCACCTTAAGGAAAGTAGTACTTTCTCACTTTAACAGTGTTTAAATGTAGCTGCAGTTCCATTTGCTGTGTGTAATGTATTGGAAACAATTTAAAATAACATTTTAATGATGGAGTACGCTGTCTTGATTAAATGGGGCAAATATAACAAAACATTCAAACAAGAAACAAATAGGCTCGATGCAAAGCAACTTCCTCGAGTAAGTGCGTGATAATGACATAAGACACAATATGAAATCTGTGGATAACATAGCAGCTTGTCTTAAGATTTTTTTTTTCAAACTAGAATGTCAGCATACTCCAGTCCATCATTTCTGTCAAATATGAACAAGATAACTGTGAAATAACTAAATATAATGACTATAAAGCACCTTAGTAGATCTACTAACAACATAGTTTCATAGGACTGAGTGATGATATGTCATTTCCTTCTAACTGTATTGTTACTGTATGTAACTGTGTTAATGTGATATAGATTTCGGGCCTTAAAACAGGGTTCCCACACTGGCAAATCAATGAGAAGAAGTGTCCCTATAAATCTTTTATTCCAGGCTTTGGTTGAGTACAATGTTCCCTAAAGGTCCACATCCATGTCCCAAAACACAACACTTGATATTTGTTGCAGTGAGTGGGTGTTTAGTGATTACCTTGATCACCATGGTTGTCATTTGGTGACATGGGGAGGAAAACTGAGAAGGGGGTGTAAGAGAGAGCGATAGACAAAAAGAGAGAAGTGGGACCTAGAAAGGACTGCCATAAATGCTGACTATGATCTGTGAAGGATGAATGAAGGTAATCTGTGGGAGCCTTTTATTTTATTCTAAAACCATCAGTGCCTCCCTGTGGTTAAACAATCACACAGCAGGAGAAAGGTCTGCAATTGATGTAATTCATAAATGAAAATATGTGCTTTTTGATCAAATTTACATTGGATTCATTAAAAGTGATTTGATGTTTTCAGTGTAAGGTGAACATGTCAACAGGAAGCACATCACAAACACAGTTTCAAGAAAGATTAAATTTGCTGTCTCTATTTAAATCAAATTTAGAGCATGTAACATTATTATTTCTTACTGAGACAAATTGCAGCACCATTTTATTTCACAGTGCATTCACTGATAAACTGCAGTACCATGACGTTGTGTTGATGTCAGCAAAGCTAGTAAAAATTAAAATAAAGTTACAAAATTGAAATGGATATATGGCTTACCTTTGAGTTTTAAGTTAAAGAAAAACTAAAACAACAGTACACCCTAAGTAATTTATCATTCAGACCATATATTTCTAAATAATTGTGTTAATACTAAACTATTGAATCTTCATCATGGCCTCTAAAGTAATTCACATGCGAAAATACATGAAAAAGAAAAAAAGCATATAAATAATGTAAAAGACTATGCTCTTTAACACAGGAAGGTGAAAAACCAACATCCCACTGTGTCTTTGTCTGCATTTGGTCAAAGTAAAAAAAAAAAAAACTATGTAAAAATGCAAGCTCTGTTTTATCTGTAACTTTTTTAATTTTTTTTTTTTTTTTTTTTTTACATAAAAATCAACTATATTTTCGGGGATGTTGTGCTCTTTATAACCCTGCCATTCAAAGTCTGGCATAACTGTCATATCCTTTCTCTGACACCTGAGGTATTGAAGAGGCTACATCTGGTTTTCATTATATTGTGGGCTGGAGTATTGATCTTGCATGGCTGGGAAAGCTGCCCCCATGGCAGCCTGCTGGGCTGCTCCCTGGACATGAGGGTTCCTCCATGTCCCCGTGGTCCATTCCTCCTGAGCTTTGGACACACTGGCCCCACTGCCACGGTAGAAATTATGGATCTGCAGACAAGGTGGGATGGCAAGTTATGATCAGCACATTAGAAAGTAATTACTTTAGTTGATGTTATGACATAGAGTGTTAGGGTGATAGTACTGTATTTCCTAATCATTAAGTCTGTGCAATTAGATCAATTTGTACTGTCGTAGCTTCTAAGGATTGACCTGTAACATGTAGATGGCATAGCCGATGCAATCAAATGGTAGAAACTGAATTCAAAAAGTTTAGTAAAAGTACTTTTGAAAAAAATATATAGTACCTGTAGAATAAATCATCCCAAAACTCATCGCTCAGCAAAATCAGGCTATATTCACATTTGCAAAAGTCAAATTCTTACTTTTGTGAGAGCAGCAAAGGACAGTAAGGCCACAGCAGTGAACATGACAGAAGGGACCAGCATGATGAGTGCAACCAAAATATTATAGCTGAAGAAAGAGATGGTAGCCAGCCAACCACTGAGAAAGAAAGGAACAACCATTATCAAAAAACCATAGAACAATAGATAATTTTAGACTATGAACACAACATGAAGTGTTATCACCTGTTATTGGATTGTCTGGTATCCCTCACTACTGCTGAATATCTGAATGTTAAATAGCAATGATTCTGTGGACTTTAAGCACCACCATATAAAGTTTAAAAGTTTTATAGCTCATACATGTGAATATCCAATTGCACATGGTGACATTTATAAACTTTATGGAGGCTGTCATAATATTCATTTCTGATCATCAGCCTGAGTCAGATGACATTTTGAAGATCTCTTTAATGGCCTCTCAAAATCTAATAACAGCACTATCGTAAAAGTTATGAGAGCAATTTCTGATGGTCCATCACTGTCATGTTAATGAAAGCAGGTCTTTTAAAAAATACAGGCTAGCTTACTGGATTTATTGCTTGAGCTCAAAAGGTTTCATTCAAAAGTCGATTTTGTAGTTTTTTGTTTTTGCAGTCTTCTTAATCTCTTCAAATCTTCCAAAACAATTATTTTTTGATAAAACTAACAATAAAAGGTCCTTTGAATGAAAGACTAATATAAATGCAAACATGCTAAATCTTTTCCTAACATTATGAAATGAAATTATGACATGTTTTCTTTGCATTTTAATCTGACTGCTTACCATACTCCCCATCCAGGGATCCCTATGCTTTGGATGATGCTGATGCCAACTTGGGCCATGAACATAAAAAAGAACAGCATGAAGTTGAAGGAGCTGTCGCTCCTGAGAAACCAGAAATAACAAATCAAAAAGTGTCACTCTTTTAGCTATAATATCGAATTTTCACATCATAGTTGTCATTTATTTACTTTATCTACATTTGGTTTCAGGTCATTCAGCCCTACAGGGTAAGATAAAACAAGTTTGTGTTAAACACAATACACGCAGATAAAACAATGCATATATAGATAAAATGCAAATTAGATAAAAGAATAAATGTAAATCAAAAGCAACACATGACAGTACAAAGTAGAAACATGTATGAGTAGATACCTAGTACTTTAAGTATACAGTAGCTGTGGCAGACTGTGGATTCGCTCTGTTCTCAATATACTTGTACTCCTTTACTTCAGTCTTCCCAAGACTAACTTCTAACTAATTTACACCAGAGGTGGGCATACTTTCTTCCAGAAAATTTGAAGCATCAGTGTCTATACAGCTAAATAGTCCCAAAACCTTTTAGGACAGCTGTGGCAAACTGTGGCGTCTCACTGTTAATTGTCAAAGTCACTGTCATGCAGCCATATGGGGAAGTGCTGCTTACATACAGACTTCACCCTCTATCATTTATCTGTGGCTGCACAGCTTGTGTTTGGGAATCCACACACTGAACCTTTTTCAGGTTTATTCACAGCCAGTCACAATGAAACTACTCAACCACATGCCTCTCTAACAAGTGGCATCATTCTCCCACATCTGCCATCTGTAGTAGATGACAACACAGCCGTGAGCAGCTTTGTCATAGACCCAGGCATCATACATATCGCTGCCGGCAAGGAGTGGCCAGACTGTGCCAGCATCCTCCCCAGCCATTATCCAGAAATATTGTCTCTATTGCTCAGCATTACTTGGTAACATACTCTACATTATGTTGTATATGATACAGAGTTATTGTCGCTGTGGAAGAATTCATCATACCTGAAGGCCTTGTAGATGGGCCGGAACCAACAGGCATAAGAGCAGGGAGTAAACATGAGGAGCCAGATGATAGCCAACCCAAAGTTCGTCACTCCACCTCCACCAATCATCCAAGCAAAGCAGCCAATGAGATTCACTGCAAGTGTAGTACTATTCACTGTGGGACCACAACACAACTATTTCAAAAACTGCTGTATAAAATGCAACCAACTGGCCTGTGTGCACACACATGCACATGCAAAACAAGCTTGAAAAATGGACAGTGGACAGGAAGACAGTGACTGTTAATAGCTGCAGAAGTTCCCTTATTAGCCTTTTTGCATGTCTTTTGTTTTTAATTATCAGCATGATCTAAAGGTACAATACAGAAGATTACTCAGGTGCAAAAAGCAACGTGCATGCACATTGCAACGTGTGGTCAATGGCAAATCCCAATACAAGAAAGGCCAGTAAGACAAGGAAAGAGAATTAAAGCACATCGAAAAGCAAAGTGTGGATACCTGCTTATGTTTACCGATTACAAAACAGAAGACGCCTGCAGAGAGAAAAGGAGTTAACGCCAATAAAATATAGTACCCAGAGATATATGCATACTTCATTATGTGCCTATGTGATTATTCAAAAATGAAAAGATCTTTGGCTTTGTTGAGTGTACACAGACACAGTCAAAATCATGCTACAGTTTACTGCAGGTTTATTGGAGTGGAGAGGCACTTCTGGACTTGTTTCATTTGGCCAAGTCAGTTGCAACCTTCAATTTTTCATTCATTATTTTTATGCTATTTTTTACTGTTGCTTGGCTTATTATTCTACCTGCTAAATTAGCATTCAAACACCTATGTCATTGTGTAGCAGTGCTGGGATATTTCATGCTGCTCTCTCTGGCCACGGCTCCATTACATGCCTTCATGGATGGGCAGGGAGTTTTCAGCGCAGACCAAAATCCAAAACATCATTGTACTGTGTACTTATAATGTAATAAACTTTGATAAAAGTGCCTTTGGCAAAAATTGTTTAACATCATTTCAATATGAACTGCTCAGCTCAAACCAAGGCCATCTGGTCAGCACTATGACTCATTAGCAAATAAACGAGTCAGAATATCTCAGCCACAGTCAATAAAAAAACATTTTTGGACCAAAGAAATCTTTGTACACCATTGTCCTTCTGCTACGCAGTTCTTATCACATGCAAACCACAGAGGAGAAGACAATTTATGGGGCCTCTAGGAAAATTCTTATGATCTTAATGTCCTTTAAGAGTGTCTGATAATCTATTTTGGATTCAGGCAGTTTTTGCAGAAAAAGGTCATTTAAATGTCATAGTTGAAATTTAAGCTCCAAACTTTATTTAAGTAGGTTGATGTAAGGATATTGTAATATAATAAGTGGAATATCCCTGAAAGCCACTCACACATCCACAGGTGGTACATTTTCTTGCACATGCTGCGGTGCTGTTCAGGGATCTCATCAAAGTCCTGATAGAAACATGGCTTGAGTGGAATGAATCCAGGCAGTGGGGGGAAGTTTGGCTCTGCAAAAAATAAAAATAAATACATAATAATAATAGTAATTTTATATCAGGCATGTCAAACTGCCAGAATCATTTTTTTTTCTCTACATGAATGTACTGACCTGCCATGTGGATAACGCCTGCTGCTTAGATTTACTCCTTTTCAGTCTCTTGAGCCTGTCAAATAGGGACATAAATATAGGTCAGGACTTGCTATAGGAATCCTATTGGTGACGTCCTTCTATAACCTCATATGATAATTTGTAGTTTTGATATCCACATCCTGAAGGAAAAATAAATTCGCTCTGTCTTACACTGCCAACCCAACCATACAGTACTTTATGAGAATAAAATACAGTACAATACATAAAGACGTCGTGCAAAAAGATTTAATGTGTGAACAAAAATAAATAAATACATGTTCACACACCCCGGAGACCGTGGCTGCGATCACACATGCAAGTTGTATTTGATGGATGAAAAGAGTCAGCAACAGTCGCGACATGGGAAGACAGTTTGACAGCAGGTTGACCATCACAGCCAGGAATTACGGATTCCTGGGGAAACATAATCTGCTTACCTCCCCCGAAGAGCACTCGCACGTCTGTTTACAGTGCGGTGTTTACAGTCACCAGTGAGGGTTTCAAATGCGTCCTGAATCGAACGCTACAAATCGGACACTATCTACAAGCAAACTGTTACACAACTAAAATGTTTTCTTCTGGACAGTTTGATGAGAGTAACAAATCCTGACTAGCCTGGCTCTCGACCAATCGCCGTGCCTAAATCTGCTGCCATTTTGATTCAGACCAATAGGCGTATTACTCTAATCCTTGACGTTGTATTGTTGACCCAATCACCGATTAGCTCTCTGTCCATGGTGCTGAAACCGACCAACCCCTGTATCAGCGGACTTAACCTGGCATTGCATGAAACTGCATACAAAACAAGTTAACTTCATATAAAATCGGCTTTGGCTCCAAATTTTGTTGACTACTTAAAACTAATTGTATCTGTGCAAAGGCAGGGTTGGAAAAGACTGTGTTACTACACCCTCTCAACTATTATTTGAAAAAAGGAAATTATAACAGTATAGCGAAGCCTCATTTAGCTAATTTAGTAGGCTGTGTAGAAGATAAGAAAAGGGTGGTCTGCTAGAAATGATGGAATGACCATCTATCTAACTATCTATCTTATCTAACTCAAAAATGTATTGAAGGTTGTTGCCTTGAAATTCTGAGTTTTCTCTCTCTCTTTTTCTTTAGTTGTTACAATAGAGGCACAAGCATTCATTTCAATTCATCTCTGGTAAAACTCTGCTGGAACCAAACCATCTGATACATTGATGTAATGTACAGTAGCAGCAGTGTGAGAGGCATTCTTCTTTTCTACAGAATATTGAGCTCCCAAACAATACACCTGCATATAACATACTGGAAGGCTTTCTCCAAAATGGCATCATCATGTTGTCATCTTGTTAACAAAAAAGTATTTGCCATTGTTTCATTACATGAGTGTGTTTGGATGTTTCCCCATGGTGAATTTTCATTCATTTTTCATCCATTCATGCAAAATTAAGTTCAACACTGTGCAGTCAAGGAAAGAAAAACAATAAAAGTGCATAGTGAATTAAAGAGAATACTTGATAGAAGCTGGTAAAACTTTCCTTTTTCATTTCCCATATCTTACACTGTCACTCCTGACACCCTCATTTTTCTTCTCCTCTCTCCATTTACATTTATCAGAAAGAGTTTCAGTATAGACAAGCTTGTGACAGGATGTTTTAAGGCTGGCGTGCCATAAGCCTTTTCAAAAAACTCTACAGTAGAGTTGGCTATAAGTGGTCTCTCTTTCTTGTTTCCTTGTCTGTCTGTCTCACTCTCATTTTGCCTCTCTTGTCCTCCATGCGACAAGACCACCATTGACAGGACCATTGAGATGAGCTCCTTTCTTTAGCACCTCACAATCTTCAGCTGAGATTCTGATTCAGAACCTTTTTAAGCTAATTAGGATGAGGGCTGCTTCTTTTAGGGACTAATGGCCCTACTCTATATTAACACAGCCCACCTATTCCCTCCCACTCCAGTTCACCAACCACCACCAGTGCTTCACTCTGCATAGATTAGAATGGGAAAGTCAGATTTCCCCCGTGGGCTTTGCCAACACTGTATTGATGCAACACAATGAGTCTTTTCTGGGCACTCTTTGCTGCTTGTTTCATCATCATCCTGGATGGGGTGTAGACAGACAGCAGGATATGAAGTACTGAATAAGACAAGGACAGAATAAGAGGGGTAGAAAAAGAAAGAAGACAGAGAAGAAGAGAGGAAAGGAAGGGTGAGAGAATATCATAGCATCAACATTAAGTGAACATCAAAAACAAAGACATACAGTGTCTTATTTCTTAGTTCTGTTTGGATTAGTCAGAATTCCCTCTATGATTCAAATAATCCATAAATGAATACAGATTTTCCAAAGGAGCCAGCTGAGGTGGCTCGGGCATCTATTTCGGATGCCTCCTGGGCGCCTTCCTAGGGAGGTGTTCCGGGCATGTCCCACCGGGAGGAGGCCCCGGGGAAGACCCAGGACACGCTGGAGGGACTATGTCTCTCGGCTGGCCTGGGAACGCCTCAGCATTTCCCTGAAGGAGCTGGAGGAAGTGTCTGGAGAGAGGGAAGTCTGGGCATCTTTGCTTAGACTGCTGCCCCGCGACCTGGTTCCGGATAAGCGGAAGAAAATGGATGGATGGATACAGATTTATAATTTATATCATAAATCTGTATTCATTCATTATTCATTTACTCATTAGCATTAATTTATCATTTACAGCATCTGATTTGTGTTATTATTTTTAAACAATGTTTTGACTTGGTGCTCACACCTTTTAAAACTTTTTTTGACATTTGTCAGAAAAATATGGAGTAACTACACCACACACACACACACACACAAACACACACACACACACACACACATACACACACAGAGTAGCATGGCCACACAGAAAACACAGGCACATGCTAGCCTAGTTGTTTTATTGAATACATAAATACATTTATTTATCTTCATGACTGGGTGAGTAAATGCAGTTTAAATGAAGTAAAAACAAGTCCGTCTGTTGTTCAACACTCAATATCCCTGCTTGATGTTCTCAATTGCAGCCCAGCGCCAGTGCACCCTGGAGTCATTGTCCTCCAAAAGAAAAACCATTTGTCCAGTCACCTCTTAAGCTCATGTGCCATCCTTGTCTTAGTTTCTATGGCGACACTCTTCTCCAGGCCAAGTATGTGGAGGGCACCCCTCCAGCGGGGAGGAGCTGGAATAACAGTGTGGCGAGGCAATCATACACCAACCTCATTTGCATATCCAAACATGGACCACGGGTCATAGCATACAGTGTTTGTTCAATAAAAAATACACAGTAGTTCAATAAATACAGCTGAAAATGTGGCAGACTTATGAATATTATTTTTAGCATCAAAAAGTTTGATTCCCAGCTTGTGTGAAAACGGGGGCGTTAAAGAGAACACATGAACTAAAGTTACAGTATGGACTGTAGAAATTTCTTTCTACACTGGGTTCACTCAGTGTTCTGATCAGCGTTGCTCCCCTTGTACTGTTGACATGAATGATGCATGCCTGAGTCTGGGCCTGATGTGGTCACTTCTTATCACCTCCAGCTGAGGGCACTGTTCTATGTGTAGATCAGTCAGTCTGTGATATTTCTTACCTATTCAGGGAGATGCTGTGCTGTCAGATGGAGATGGGTGTCTGACCTTGAGGAAGATGAAAGACAGCTCCACAGAGGCTATTGTATTCAGCATTCAAAAACTCCCCCCTGAGCTTAGACACTATATAAAAATGAAAAGCAAAACTAGATAATTAGAACGACAAACTCAAAAGGCATCACAGTATTTTAATAGAAGCATATTGTGTTATCAGCTGATTCAAAAATATTCTTGAAACAACTTTAATCTCAGCCCATGGACCTATTTTTCTACAACCATAAATACAGCACTGACTATGGTATTTTCTGTAGCACTGCAGAGTTGCTCAGCTGCTCGCTAACCAATTACAATATTGTCTGTAGTAGAAAAATTGAATATGTTGAAAAGAAAAACAGCAACACCAACCTTGTCCTAAGTGCCAAATGAAACTGCTGAAACCTCTTTTAGTTAGACTCAAGCCAGACAAGTTTAGTCTCCTAATTAGTCTCAGGGGGCTAAGTATCAAATGTTCAAATCATTTTCTCAGCAACTGGCTTGCTCTATCTTCAGCGAATATGGCTGTCTTTCTTGGACTGTGAAAAGAAAGCTGCTGTTCTGGGCTCTAATTCCTGGAGCACATTGTTTTATTGTGAACAAAACTGCTTTAAATATGGAAATGAGAGACTAATTTTCAATCACAGAAGCACCAGTCTGAATTAACATGTTCAGCCTTGTCTGCCAGAGGTAATGAACTGCAGACGGGGTTTCAACTGCCGCTGCTTTTAGTTGGATTCTGGTTAAAGGGAATCAGGTTATTACCTTTTACTAGTGTTTGTTGGCTTGCTTGTTTGTTTGTTGATTTAGACTTGCAACTAAGACCACATTCTAGCTGAAACTCTGCTGATTCAGTTTAGGAGCAATGAGTTTAACCTATCTTCAGCAGTTGTTGTGCTAGATCCTGAATAAAATCACCATTAGTAAAATGTTGGTTTTCCTTGAGTACTTTTCAAACTAACAATGATATCTGTGTGATTCCAAATGCTAGGGGCAGGTTTTTATGGTCAAGGAATCATATTACAAGAATCAAACTATCATGAGAACATTGCTTTTAGGTGGAATAGCATTATGGGAAAGCTAAGCTGCCTTGTCAGAGTTTTGCGCCTTCTGAGTGCTGTTCATAATTAAAAACATAGCTCGGAGCAGATCATCCACACCACTGCATCCACTTCTGACATAGCGGATTAAACAATAAGAGTTGTTTAATTTCTCTCTGTCTGAGCGAGGGCATTGTAATATAAACTTATATTTTTTGGTTATATAATCATGTACTGCGTTGCAGACATGTACTGCTTTTATGTGTTAACATTTGTTAACACACACTATATGATGTATAGAGGCAGACAGCCAAAGCAGCAAATAGTGATGTGTCGACATTTTATGACAAAACTATACTACTGTAAAGCTTTTGTAGGGTGATTTGTGAGCGGCTGGTAGTTTGTGTTCTTTCTTTTATGGCAGCTAGGGAGGAAACATTAGAACCAGGGAAATTACAGCTTGACCACAATCACAGAGGACACAGTAATGCTATTAGTTTTCCAATGCAATAACATAATCCGATGGCCCAGACATTTGCTTTAATTAGACACCTGGGAAATGTATCCATCCCATTTGATTTCATCGGCTCAAATCAGTTTTATATTGGCATTAAATAGATATGCCGAGACGGGAAATCTTGCTGGACATGGTTATTACCACTGGGAACTCATTCATTACTGCCTTTTAGGACTGCCTGTCTTTCTTCTTCATGTTGTAGGCAGTGTATAAAGTATTCTACTCTTGAATACCGTAGATCCATTTTGAAAAAAAACAAAACAAAGGATGCTGTTTAAAAAGTGTAAATGTTTCAGTATAATTCAAATGGTGCAAGATGGCTACATAAAAATTGGCAATAGGCTTTCTTTTATCCCCACAAGCAGTACTACTGGATATCGCACCATCAAGGGATGGTACCATGGAATTTC